GCAGACGGCCTCGGAGACCGCCGTCTCGGGGGTAAACATGTTGCGGCAACCCCTCAAGAAACGGATAAATTACATGTCATTGCATACCTTTTTCGGATTTCCTATGTCGAAAAGCTCATAAGATGAACATTCCTGATACAACACTGGTGATAAAATCTGGGTTTCATCTCCCATCCCAACCATTCCGACAAGTCTACCCAAAAATACAATTTTTCTTTCCTGCAAACCATTGACAACAAACCGCAGCAAGTACGGCATAGTACGGTCACTAATATAGTCCACCTCAATTTCCATCATTTGGGGATGGGTCAAAACCCTGGTACCCCTGTAGTTCACATCAAAATAGCTGGTAAATGGATGTTCATCCCACTAAAAATGGTACTTATAGGTATTGATCCATAGCCATTTGTCACACCCAAGGCGCATGACTTCGGGAGCTCAGCGGGTTCCGCTCCGTGGCTTCGGAGCGCCGCAGGCGCAGCGCTTCTTCCAGCAGCGACGGCAGCGCAGCGGCGTCCGCGGAGAGCGTCAAGGCGCCCCTCGCGGCGTGGAGGGCCAGGTTTGGGGCCCCAAGTTATGGGCCAAAAACGGTGGTGTTTACCAATTTAAAAAGGAAAATGTGACGAGAATTTCTTGCGTTAAAGATTGGTGATGATTTTTTAACTGGCTGGCCACTTGGAGGATCACCCCATTCAGTAGCCGATTAGCAACTGGGACTTTAAGCTGGTTATCAATGGGATAACACGGGAACCAGGGACTTAATCATCAGAGTTTTTGAAGATACATCCTATATAAGTGGGATGATCCGCTTGCACGACAGCCACAGCCATGATGGGCCACGAAAAAAATTGGGTGAATTCGGGCACTGCTTGTCAACCAAGAGTCGTTGGATACATGCATGTTGGGAAATTCCAAAAAGCATCAATCGTGAGTCCCTATGTAATGACATTGTCAACCAAGAGTTTGTAGACATAAGAGCCTTGGGCAATTTTCAATAATTGCAATACAGTTTGCAGACATGTTGCTTGATTTCGGGGGTAGCAAGATCCTTTCAACGGATACATGCTGCTTAGTTTTGAGGGTTTGTACACCGACGTATTTTTCATGTGTTGCGTAACCCTAACAATTTCCTAACTAAGGATCTCGACTCTGTGAGGGTCATTCAAGAAGTTTCGAACCAGATGGTTTGACAGTCCAAACTCGGTGCTTTCTGATATCAGAAATGGAAAGGGAGCTCAGAAGAATGGTGGGACGCGTGCCATGCGGGTTCTTCCCATTCGCAAATGGGGCTGCAACCAATCCCACTGCATTGTACCGCCATTCAGCTCCATTCATATCTGGCAGGGGCCCAACATTGTATTTCAAGCAGAAGCCACAATCCAACGATCCCCCCCAAAGTCATTGCAGTACACTGGCTTTTTTGGAACGGAATTCTCATCATGGACGATGATCATCCGCAATATATAAAGGATACAGCACAACCTGGTACAACCCCCAGAAAGCATCAACCAACTACTCCTTCCGTCGTGCCTGACGTGCACGCGTTCCTCGGCATCCGATCTCAGCGTCACCTCCTTCCTCTGCTGCAGCAAATCGTAACCTCAGGCACTGCAGGCCCACAGGGATTCAAATCTTACCAAGCCTCGGCTATGAACTACTTCGCCCTTGACGCCTTGACGGCGAAGAGAGCCAACCCTGTTGACGCCCTAAACCCGACCTACCATTGACAAATAGCCACGATATGCCACGATGAACATCAACAAACTATAAATAATATACTTCCCATTCCAGTGATGATCATCAAACTATCCGGTTTGAGACAAGAAAAAGAAGACGAAGTTTTCCCGGCTTACCAAAAGCAGCGTCATCTTTTTCGCAGGATTGTCTGATGATAGAATTCACCACAACCTGAGCACTCATCAGCCACTCCTTGTCCTCGAAACCGCGAACCTTTTCACCTTGTCCCACTTACAAGTCAGCCATCGCTTCCATGTTTGCCCCCACCCCACAAGGTAGTGCCTCAATTCGTTAGCTAGGTTGGTCTATGTCACAAATATTTCACTAGGGTTTATGGTAGATTCGAACTAGAATCACTAGAATAGCCACTCAATGGGGTGAAACTGAACTAAACCAACGAACATACCCTCCAATCAAAGATGCCAATGGAAAATCCTCCTTTAGTTAGAGATAGTTACAGCAAGTGCTGCCACAGAAGCATTTCTTTCCATGGATCTCGAAGAAGGTCACTGCAATGCTCCGCCCGGCCAGGTCAGCCCCAAGGCGTTTCCAGCAGGCATTGAACGTGTGCGTCTTGCCGGTGCCCGTCTGGCCATAGCAGATGATGGTGGCGGCCTCACGGGAACCGGGACGGGAACCGGGACGGGAACCAAAACGGGAAATGGGGGAAGAGGATCTTCTGGAAATCACATGTCTTTTAGGGGTTTCGAGGTTCATGTGAAATGGGGGTGGCAGCACTGTTTGGGGAGTTGCAATTTTTTCGTTTAACTGGCCCTGAAATTTGGAGTTGATTTAGACGATTCACCTCACGGGCAAAAATACCCCCGCTGTCAAATTGTATATATAGGCTCGTCTCTGCTCCTGGAACCACATACGATGGGGTGGGGGGGGGGGTGGATGTTAATTTCCAATGTGAATTAACGTTGGGATGTTAACGTTCATTTGAAAATTTAAGTTCTAAGTGAACTTGCCGTTCATGTGAAACTTGCAGAAGTCAGTTTGTGGCTATCGCACACCGGGGTGGGGGGGGGTGGGGTGGATGTTAAACGTTCATGTGAACTTGCAGAAGCAGTTGATGCTACGCTCACGCGGGGTGGGGGGGGTGGGGTGGGATGATGTTAACGTTCCTGTGACTTGCAGAAGCAGTTGATGCTACGCACACGCGGGTGGGGGGGTGGGGTGGGATGTTAACATTCATGTGAACTTGCAGAAGTAGTTGATGATGATGATGATGATGATGATGACCCTAATGAAACTTTTCAATTCCGCGACTAAATTTCGTCACGGAATGGACAAGTTTTACCAACCTAATTCAGGTTTGCGCGGTCCCAAGAGCAGGGACGAGGCTATATATACATATATCCGTGATAGTTTTTCTTCAAGCTTAGCAATGCTGGCCCCCGAGAACTTCTCAGCCTCCTCTTCCTTCAGGGAAGTCACCAGAGGCTTCACCTCAATTTTGAGCGAACCTCTTGAAATGGTACAAATGATTTTGACCTATATATATATATACTTTCAAACAATGATCGTTTTATAAATCAGAAAATGCCTGAACGACCCCTGCAAGCCGCGGTGTGCGTTTTCCCAGGCTAGCTTGAATTCATGTGCTAAAAAAGTTGCCAGATTTGGACCCATGCTGGATGCCCTTTAATAAAGCCCCTGTCAACACAGGAAGACAACACAGGAAGATGCTGGGGCTTAGCCTCCAAAAGCCAATGGAGGACCAGCAAAATCCCAGGAAAATCCGTCCCAGTCACCGCGTCTTCGTAGAACTCACTGTCCGAGACTGAGGAGTCATACGCCTGATCCTGAGGGAGGGACAAAAAAAAACCTCTTTTTGCCAACTTTTCCCAGCACATCTTAACCTTTTTTTTTCTAACAGGTTCAGTGCCGAAAACATCAAGATAGTTCTAATCCTCAACCATCGCCACCACTTCTGGGTGCGACGCAACTTAACCCCCCAAAAAATAGAAATGTGATATACAATTATCTCTACTGTTTTTTTTTATTTTTTTTACAAATTTCGATCGTTTTGGTGGTTACTACACGCCATTTAAGCACCTTTGTTTTGGAAGCAATAAATGGATTTTTGCCGGAGGGTTCAATCCGCTGGGCTTTCCGCGATTGCAAAAGGTTGACCATATTTACAACCCACTATCAACCAATGTTATGTGGGCTTGTCGGTAAATCCAGCTATGTAAGGGGTACACCTCATGTTCAAACGCACCCGTATCATATTGTTGGCTATCTCCTATTTTGTCGCCATCATCCACCAAGTTATTACTTTGTTTTTCACCGGTTTTAGTCGAGGTTGCTTTCATCAACTTTAACCACTGGCAATATCAACATATATCAACCACCCAAACAGCATAGTTGCCGTTGCTATCCATGAAAAATCCCCATGATAGTTGCTCAATGCTCAGCATCCCCAAAACCCATCAAAACCCACGGGGTTCACCACGGTTTCACCAGCTTCATCCCAGATCAGATCATCCCAGCGTCCAATACGAACTTCTTGTGCAACATCTCGAGGCGCCTTCCCGTGCGGTGTAGCCGCCCGTCGTGGCAGACCACCCGAGCACAGCTCCTGGAAGACAGCGAACCAGGTTTGGGGGCTGATGTGAAACTTTTTACCATGCAAAATTTTAAAATGTTGGAAAAGATGGATTTTAATCATTTTAATCATCAAAAAATAATGTAAGTACATGGGATAGTGGCAAGCCATCTAGTGTTCCTGCTCGATCTACCAAGCGTAAGACTAGACTACCAGGTACGGCAGCTTCACCAAAAAAATGGGTCACAAGCTTAGACCTAGAAAACCTTCACTTACGATTTGAAAACCATCTCAAGACGGTGAATGTCCCGAACCGGATGTGTCGCCATGTGATGCTCAAACAGAGGGATCATCTGAGGATCCCGAAAATAAACCAGGACATCCAGAGGCCCACTATGTAGGAAAATGATGGAAATTTGACAACGTACCCCACGCCTGAGGTGGAGCCATGTGAAAAACTGCGTCTGAAATTTCTTGGAAAATCTCCGTCCATGTGGACGGAAACCAGAATCCCCTGGCCCAAAACCTCCAAAAATCCCCTGGCAAACTTTGCTCCTGGACACTGTGACGCAGTCCCAGTCCCCGGCGGCGACTTCGAAGGGCAGCAGAGGTCGCTTTCTGGCCATAAACCTTGGCACATTGTCACATGGCAGCAGAAGTGACATAATAGGTGCATTTGAAGTTGGGATGAATGGATGCTTTAGGTAGGAAACCTCCTCAGGATGGGAATCATACGATCCAAAGCAATCACTTCGAAAGTTTCCAGGCATTCTGGCGCTTGCAAGTGCACATCCGGAGCACATCAAATGTAAATGCGACTTCCCTACTCATCGACCTACTTTGTGCATCACAACCACCCGAAGTCGTGTGGGATCATCTGCACACTACCTGATAAAAAAATACACACACCTTCGTCTGGATCACAATCCTCTTCCAAGAGTTATTGCCCTTCCAACCACACCCAGGTTTTCGCTGCACCCCACCTGATACCCGGTCGGTCGCTGGCGGCCGCCACCGGCTTTGGCGCCCGCCGCCAATTGGCCAGAAATCCCACAGCAGGACCCTGGGAGAATCCGAAATCCGCGATGCGTTCCAAGATGCTCAAGTCCAAGTCCTAAAGCCGCAAGATGTTTGCCATTTGGGCAGGGCTTCTAAACCGGTAACAATCAAGGTCCATTGTTGGTTTCCCCTAAGAATCAACCAGATCTAGGTTGGGTTTGTCAAAGAGCTTGGTTTTGAGGTTTCCCCAAACATCAAGGGTATATGCCATTTCTCGCAGTCATGTCATGGGAAAAGTATCATGATCAGCTGATCATCCTTTACAGTTTTGTAACAGGGATATCATCAGAAAAATGGATTGAAGATGATTGAAGACAGCACAAAAGTGGAGCCAACTGCCCACTGAAACTTTTTCGATTTTTGAAGGGGATCTGTTTGGTGGTCAGCCATTGCCAGTTAAACGTTAATGGGTGTTTGTATTAATATAAACTAGCCATCGGGGGGGCTAACTCCCATGTTGATTCTCAGCCAATCACACGGAAATCATCCCATCTCTAAACACACAAAGCTTGGCTCCGTTGTTTCGGCAGGCCAGGCACCTTCAAACACGAGGACTGCGACGTGAAATGCGCATCCAGAAGCATCTTCACTCCTTGGCCAGGACAACTTGGAGCTAACCCTAGGCAGTTGTGGATTTAAGGCTGGGGACACATTGGGCTTATCATTATTTTCCCGGTAAATAATCTTGACACATACCCTTTCGAGATGAGAACTTTCCTGGTCAATGTCGAAGCAGGCCAGTTGGAAAATCCGGTTCAATCCACGTACAAGGACTACATTGATTGCATTTGTGGTGTTAATCATAAGATACGTATTGGAAAGGTGAAGGATATTCTGCAGAGATTCTCCTCTCCAATATCTTCCCACAAAATCTAGTTTTGAAAGTTGGCAACCTGGAAAACGATGATGATTGCTAACTCAAAACGATAGTCTGACGGCTTTATCTGGCAGAATTGAGAAGGCAAGAGTAAACAGCAATTGCAGTGCTCGAAACAAACAGAACAAAATAACCAAACCGAACTCAACCAACCCAACCAAATCAACGCAAAAAGAAAGGAAAAAACGTGTTGATCTTGTCGTAGAACTCCCAACAAAGAAATGTTGCTGACAGCAGTGCCTTGCGCCCCTGTCTTGAGTACCGGGGCTCGATACAAATCTCCCTGTGCTTGTCGAAGCCGGTCCCGGTGCTTCAAGTACCTCAAGCAGTTGGATTGTCAAACCCTCCATGTTTCGTCGGTCACTTTTTCTGCACCAGGTATCCATGAGAACAAAATTGTAGGGGTTGTATATCGGATGTATGTATATATATATATATATGATATATATATATATATATGTACATATGTGCATATGTATGTGCATATGCATCTGAATGTTTACACACACAGGGAGAGCAAGTATAGTTCTACATCTTGGCCAAAGGACATAGATCCATTTGATTCAAGTGATACAAGTAGTGGAGCCCCTCTCCTCCAAATATTGATCACAGTATATATATATAAGTATACGTAAGTGTACTAGATCATGCCCACAGTCCGGCAAAAAAAAAAATCTTCATCTGTGGAAGTGTCCCATTTACAGTTGAATAACCTAACAACCCATTTGGGGTATATGAATGGTAAATGTTACCATATATGGCATACATGGATCCTATGGGATATATACCCGCACCATGGACAACAATAACCAGGTCAGTTCCATCCAACTTTTTTGTTGACGCTCCCACGCAGCGGCGCACGCTTCTCTCAACGACCAATGCTGCCGTCCGTCGTAGTCCCCAGCCTACTTTGCCTCTTGCTCCGCTCGCCCCTGGCGTCCACTCGGCAGGTAGTGGGGCTTCCTTTGGACCCTCAAATTTTCAAAGCAAATCTGGGACAGCAGGATTGCGCTGGGTTAATCCCTGAAGTTGGGACCTGCGTGTGTTGTATTTTCTACATGTGTCTTTTTTGGGGTTCAAATGTCCCAAAACAAAGCCCCACACTTCGTACCACAGACCGAGATCTTTTTGAGAATGTAACTTGGCCTCCCTGAGTCTGTACAAATGAAAGGATTCAAATGGCCAAAATCAGCGCATCCCCAGGCACTGGGCAGCATTTTGGGGTCTCAAATGGAGTCGTTCGGGATTCAGCGGAAGTGTAAACGAATTCTGCCTTCTAAAAAATGATTCTGTTTTGAACAAGTGATGGTATGAAAAGAAGATGCTCCAATATTTTGAGACACGCCTTGAACTACCACAGTGATCTGTTCCATGCGGGCTGATGCACTCATGCAACGGGGTTTTGTTGGGAACCTTGGAGACAAACTGGAGCCTCATGGCAAAACGTTCCTTGACCTGCACACTTTGTTCAAGTGACTCAGGCAAACTGAAGCGGATGAATTGTTAGTTTCAACTCATCGCTCTCAGAGAACGAATTGGCGACCAGCGCCTATCACCGACTTGCTGATGCTGTCTGGTCATTTCTGAGATTGAAACAGTCACATGAAAACATCAGGAACCTGTCAAAAATGCCTGAAGGGTGTCTACTTCTTCAACTTCAAGTCCTCCAATTCCTTCTTCAGCGCTGCGATCTCCTGCTTCTGCTCATCAATCTTCCGTTCATCCTGCGCTTGCTGCTTCTGAAGCATCTGATCATTCACAGACGGCCCCACTGGGCCCAAGGGCACAGGCACCCCCAACCCAAAGCCACCATAGCCAAAAGGGCTGAACGGACTCAGAGGTGCGTAGCCGAATGGCGAAATCATCGGTGCTCCAATCCTTGATGGTTTGTTGGCCTCCTCACTTTCAGGACTATCCATCCCCAAAAAAAGAATAAAATCAGACCTGTGTCGCTATGCCACCCAGCATCCCAATAGAGATGCGCGGTCCCGCACTTCCCCTGGCCGTGCCACCCCTAGGCACAGCCGCCCGGGGCGGCGGTCGGGCAGCAAAGCCGCGGCTGGAGCCGCCCATGCGGCCGCCGGAGCGCGCCGCCTCCGCAGCGTCCATCGGAAGCAGCACCAGCAGTAGCGCCAGGGCGGCAGCTGCGGAGGCGCGAAGACCCCACCAGGAGGTGCCCTGATATTGGAGAGTTGACCGGGTTGGAGGGTGGCAGGATTTGAGAATAGTTTTTGAGATGATTGGGGGTGTGATGGTCGGGAAGGATCTCATTAAGAAGCCAGGTTGCAAAGCCAAGTTTGACCATCCAAAAACCTCACTTTAACCATTGCAGCCCCCTTTGATCCTTCATTTTGGCCCCACACCTGGTTTTGAACCTCCGCCTTGGCGACGGGCTGCTCGCTCCACCCACTGAATCTATCTCTGCCATCCTTCCGGTCCTTGCCCTTGGGCAATTGTCGGGCAGCAGGCGCAGATCCCGGCAGACCTGGCACAAAGCATGTGACCAGGGCAGCCAGAGCGCCAAGGACCAGAGCAAGACCAACGATGCGTGCCATGGTTTTGAAGGAGAGATGAACTACGGCGGTCAGGAACAAAAATGGCTGCACATGAGGGGCGTGACCGCGTGGTTCTCACAGTTGTTTCTCAAAGTCGTGGGTTCGCATCAACCGTTCTGAAAGTTTGGCAGTATATGAATTGTTTCGATCAAAATCACAATCAGATTATGTCATATGGGATTATCAGAGTTTCGTCGTTTTGACATGGCCATCAACTGAGGTTTCCTCCGGTTTCAATTCAACCATAACAAACACACGTTTGATCCCGCCCGGCCATGGGCCCCATGGGCCTCGATGTTTCGAGGAGCATCCACGATGTGAGACTCGAATTCGGCTGCGTCATCCGGAATCTCACTGGGACCTCAAGATGCAGCCACTCAGCGTTGAGAAGATTCCTGGATCCAACAATGTTTGTGTTTTGATAAGGTAAACCGGGTAAACCGAAGAGTAAACATCCCCATTTGGTGGGAATGTAACTGGTATACCCATAGCGATGAAGAATTTTCGGCCCAACTGGTTGATTACTGGGCTGGTTTGGCAGATCCCAAGCCATGATGGGAGACTTCACCGAGTCACAAGCCATGGCGCCATGGCGCTGTCCAGCAAACCCACCTTGAGCCTTCGACGCGAGCCTGGAGCCTGGTTCCCACTCCAGGATTTTTTGCCATCGGTTGGGTGATGTCCAACAATCAAAACACTGGTATGTTTACAATTAGATGCCCATGTGAAGAAATGACAACTCGTGTCTTTATTGAAATAGTAATTGACGACTGGTGATAGAAAATGCACATGCATACGTATATATGTTTTAACTTATTTATTTATTTACTTATTATATATGTATTTATTATTTATTTATTTATTTAATTATTTAATTAATTTATTTATTTATTTTATTTATTTTATTTATTTATTTATTATTTATTTTATTTTTCACAATGGATGAATTTATGATTTCTTATGAACTGATTCTGATTGTATTGTTTTCCAAGATTGAAGCCCCTGCCTTTGCTTTGGCCCAACCATTCAATCGTCAAAGAACAATCTCGTAACGTCCAAAGCCCATATTCATTTCTGAGCCCCCTCCAAAAAAGCAAAAGAAATACCTAAAACTGATTACAGTATTGTTTTGAAAATAATCCGGCCACAATCACCTTATTTCCTGATTGGTTTAGACCTCCTTGGTTTCCACATTGCAAATATCCAAAAATGTCACTTTCTGAGTGCGAGACAGTTTCCACCACTGTCCTCAGTGGCGACTATGTGCCTGTGTATGTGTATGTGCATATGCATTATGTATATGTGTGTGTGTTTGCATATGTATATGCATATGCAAATGTCTATTTAGATGTATATGTGTATGTACACGTATAGGTATAAGCAAATGTATATGTGTATGTGTGTATGCAAATGTATATGTCAGAGTATATGTATATGCGTATGTATATGCGTATGTATACGCATACACATACGCATACGCATACGCGCACGTGTGCGTGTACGTGCGTTGTACGTGTACGTGTACGTTCAGGTATATCTATATTTATTGTATATGTATATGTAATATGTCTATGTATATGCAAATGCATATGTATATGCATATGTGGATGCATATGTATATGAATATGTATGCGTATGTATCCTATATTCATATTTAACCATAGTTAGTCAATGATTTCTTTTGTACGTATGTATGTATGTATGCATGTATGCATGTATGCATGTATGCATGTATGCATGTATCTATCTAATCTAATCTAATCTAATCTATCTATCTATCTATCTATCTATCTATCTATCTATCTATCTATCTAATCTATCTATCTATCTATCTATCTATCTATATATATATCTATCTAATCTATCTATCTATCTATCTATCTATCTATCTATCTATATATATATCTATCTATATACATCTATCTATATATATATATATCTATCTATATATATCTATCTATCTATGTCTATCTATGTCTATCTATGTCTATCAATGTCTATCTATGTAAATCTATGTAAATCTATGTAAATCTATGTAAATCTATGTAAATCTATGTAAATCTATGTAAATCTATGTAAATCTATGTAAATCTATGTAAATCTATGTAAATCTATGTCAATCTAGGTAAATCTATGTCAATCTATGTCAATCTATGTCAATCTATGTCAATCTATGTCAAGCTATGTCAAGCTATGTCAAGCTATGTCAATCTATGTAAAACTATGTAAATCTATGTAAAACTATGTAAATCTATGTAAATCTATGTAAATCTATGTAAATATGTATCTATCTATCTATCTATCTATCTATCTATCGATCTACCTACCTACCTACCTACCTACCTATCTATATATCTATCTATTGATCTATCGATCTATCGATCTACCTATGTATCTATGCATCTATGTATCTATGTGTTTATGTATCTATGTATCTATGTATCTATGTATCTATGCATGTATGCATGCATGCATGCATGCATGATGTATGTATGTATGTATGTATGTATGTATGTATGTATGTATGTATGTATGTATGTATGTATGTATGTATGTATGTATGTGTGAATCGGACGTTCCCTTGTATATGTCCGTGTATTGGTTGCAAGGCGATCTGTTTCGCGTTTCTCAATGGTCAACTAGAGACAGGCTTCAGCATGGCTCACTTTTGCTAGGAGCTGTGCAGTTGGGGTCTTGAGCCAAAAGGACCATCGGTATTGCGGTCCCTTGGCATGCGGAAAGATGGCTATATACATGGGGGTTATGTACTTCACTCTTATTGTACCCCCATTCGCACCCCCCACGCATGACTGATTTCATCAGTCACGCGCAGGAGAGCCGTCTTAAAGTCCCTTTCACTGCGTTTACATTGATTGAATTATGGAGAGTCAGAAATTTCTACCGCGGCTTGCTACGTCTACACCTGTCCATCCAGATAAAATAAAAAAAGGGGAATCTAGCATCTGTACATGACATTCAAGTCCACCCGTAGCGGCGTTGCCGGCAGTGGGTTTCATGCATGCATGACATCAGCTACAAAGATGACAATGAAAATAGAGCTAGAGATTACACTCCTGCTCTTCTGAGACAAAGATGTGAGACTTAGACCGCAGCCAGAACTCAACTCACGATGCATTGCGTTTCAGATAGCATCGTATCCAAAAAAAATGTTCGGATGTGAATCACGTGAATTAGCCGGCTCAGATTCCTCTCAAGAGTCATCGGACATAAAGAAGAGGTTGATTTTGAGCATTGATTGCTGACCCATATGCTCAGCAGTAGGACCTATGCAGAGGTCAGATACCTTTATCACCACCCTCTGTATCCATAGTTGCGTCCTGTATAGTTCGAGTTCCAATCGCCACCTCGATGTGATGGTGTTCCTCTGCCAGCTCCGCGGTTTTCCCATTCTCTCCACGGTGGTGGCTCTTTTGGAGGTGCTTTTGGAGCCTGCTTTGGCAATGGAGCAGCTTCTCCTGCATTGGTTGATGAAGCAGAGCGTGATTGTCCAGCATCATGAGTGGCACTAGGCTTCGGTACAGCTTTGGCTTTGGCTTCCGCAGTCCTGCGGACGTCATCGGCCGTAGGCATGTAAGCAATTGCAGCTACATGTGCATCTGTCATGTGTGCTCCCCATCTTGGTCTCTGTCCATCACGTCTCTTGCGTTTGTTGTGATCCTCAATTGCATCGCATAACCTGTTCAGCATTGGTCCAGGTAATCGCTGGCCATTTTGTAGAATCAAGTGCATGACTGCGATACGTCTGAGTTGTGGTCGGCAAGCACAAAGGATGTCAACTGGATTAAGTGTCACGGCAGCCTGATAATCCACATTTCTGAAGAAATAGACAGCAGTCACTTGATATGCTCCAGCAATCACTCGTCGAATAAACGTCGATTGTGCATCCAATGAATTGCGGGCAAGCGTTGATTTCCTCATCTCTTCCTCAGCAGTGTCACCCTTTACTAAAGGTTCGATGTTCTCATCGCCAAACATCACTTGCAAGTCAGAGAACTCATATCCACATTCCAGTATGTAGGTGACCAGCTTCTTGAACACGAGGGAACCATGATACGCATTTGTGAAGCCCTCTTCTCCCATATCGTCTCTTGTATTTGGGTTGCCAACCTCCTGGTAAAGTTCTCTCATCTGATCATCAGTCGGCTCAATGAGAAATCCGTTATCGTCTTCCCCTAGGTATGGAACTCTGGGATCAAGATCCAATCGATATCTGGGGTTTCTCTGAAATTGTTGCCAACCACATTCAATATCATAACAGAAATTCCGTTGGAAGCGTCTGTAAATCCTGAGTATGTTGCTTCCAATTTGCAGCAATAAGATCTTGATGAGATCGGGTTGAGCATCGCCAATCTGACATGGTTCGGAAGGTAGAACTTTGGATCCAAATTCCACTCGTTTCAACCATGCGGGATATTCAATGATGACATTTCTTGCCTCTCCAGCATGATATTCTCCGATGTCAATGTTGGCGTCATTTGCTCCTTCCTCTTCAATTGTATCGGCCTTTTCACGTTCTTCTGTGAGGTATTCATCAACTTCATCTCGTTTCCTGAAGTCCCTCTTCTCCGACTTGAGCTCGTCCACTTCTGACTTTTGACTCATGTCGTCATCGTCTTGTTGGGGTTCTTCCTGTGGACTTTTCATCTCGACATCATCATCTTGTTCGACTTCCACTTCCTCCTCGTTGTCACTTGTCAGGTCGATCTTGATCTTCTCCCAGGTTTGTTTAACATGATCCTTTACGTCATCCTCATGCGAACGTTGTTCGGCAGTCGGAATGCTGGCGACGGTGATCTTGACACGTTTCCTGAATCCGTGGCTGACTAGGTACCCTTTGCAGAATACGCAAATCGATAGTGTCGCCGGAGTCTCACATAAACAAGCAGGGCAAAGTCTGTGACCTTCTTTGTTCGGACGATGAGTAAGTGCTAACAACGCAATGGCATCATACCAATCATTGTGTTGTGGGAAAAGTCGAC